CTACTCGATATAAAGCAATATTTATTAATACTTATTTTAACTCAAACTCTTAACTAAATGAATATAGAAAAAATATGCCGGTTTAAGAAAGTTTTCTATAAATATATGCAATCACCCAGAACAAAAAGTTTTATCAAAATTAAACTTTTTTAGGTTTAATGGACGTTTTCAAAAAAATGCAAAAAAAATCATTTCTGACACCCCTAGGCTTTGTACGCCAATATAATTCACCAAAACCATACTGCAGTCCTTTAATTAACATACAGTGAAATTTTCATCTTTCTAAACATCCCAACGAATGATTTGACAGGTTCTTTACTCCATTTATCATAATTACTTTTAACGATTCTTAAAACTTTTACCAAAATGTGAACAAATTAGTTTTTTGCCAAAAATATTTATTTAATATGCAAACATGGTTTCTCCGAGTGATAGATCAATGCTAAAACATCTAGTTAGAAATAGTCTTTCGGTGTTTTTCCTACTTTCACCGGCAGCGCACGGGCACATAAGTCAGAGCGCTCGGCCCAGCAATTGTCTTAGCCTATTTCTAACCAAAAATAATCGAATTATTGTAATTTTTTCCGGGTATAAATATACAGCTTCACGGTTTTTCTTCAGTGACGTTGCAATCGAATTTGGTAGCAATTGAATTTTGATTGACCGTTAATTTTTTTCCAAAATGAGTTCTCATAGCAACTGTTAATTTATGGCAATTAATTGTATCCAAATAAATCTAAATTTTTAAAACATATGCATTCGTACTGTTACTTACTTAATTTGGTTTCAATTAAATTTTCTTGCAATCTAAAATTAAATATAATTTCTAGTGCTAACTGAAATGGTTTGATGTCAACAAAGTTTCATTTCAATCAAGTTTTATTGCAACTTGCAATTTTTTATTATATCATTAGTAAATTTATACCATTTTCTAAAACATCTCATACCCATCTCATACCTAACATATAATGATTTCCGAATCAAGTTCTATAATTAAAATGATTTTTAAACCTTAATTTAGCCAATCTTTAAAATTTTATGTTACATAGTTTCATGTTTATCACGTCAAATTACAGTTTTTGAGTTAGGTTAAAATCTTGCATTTTTTCTTTAATTAAAGTGCTATGAGAAGAACAAAACAGTTTAAATTCGTAATTTGCAACCAAACTTTTTTTTCTCATCTTGGAAGTAAAATCAAAACTAGAGAAGCATACAAAGTCATACCGTTTTTCTTTGCATAAATATCTTTCTATTCAGGATTTGGGTGCTATACCTGAAAACAGCATGGGTGACAACTATACTACTGATTTCTACAGGTACTCAAAGTCTTAAAAATAGAGTAAAGAAAACCGAAGACTAAAGAGTTAAAGCTTATGTCATAATTCCAACACATAAGTTCGTTCAGATATTGACAGTTTAAATTTTTTTCTAAGAAAATTAAAATTCAAAAGAAATTCTTTAAATCTTCGATAATATTGACAACACCAAAAAGGCAGACCACATTTTGATTCAAAAATGTGAGATGCGTGGTAAAGACTCAATTCCTGTGTATTAAAATATCTAAAAAATATCGAAAAAGTTATAAAAGATTCTCGAATGTAGTTCTCCTTATATAAATAAAGAAAATCATTTAATCAATTCCAAAAAATCCCAACTAGAAAAACAATTACTCGCTCTACAAATTGTTAGTTACGTAAAACATATCGTGATATTAAACAACCCTGACAATGGAATTGAGTCTTTGCCACAAACTCTGAATTTATAATCCCTATATCTTTGGAGCCCAATGTCGCAAATCTTTGATATTTCAAACTTACATTATTTGATCTAACAGAATTCATAGTTTGAAATATCTAAGGTCTAAGAAAAGCGATATATTGCTTTTCCATTACGGCTTTCAAGTTTTCAAAAGCAATTAAGAACATTTTTCTCGCAATTTTATGCTTATCCTAGACATGGGCAGATTTAGTTTTCTCTGAAGCGTTTGAGATGAACTATGTTCCCCTGTAAACTTGAGAAAAAGAAAAAATTTTAAAACAAAAAAGTTTTATGTATTCTTTCTTGTATTTTCTCATGTTTTATTCTATGGACAACATTAAAAATGAAGGCAGTACGATTTTTTGGCACAGTTTTTCTTCTCTATTTTATTACAAATGTTATTTTTAAATTTAGGACCAATGAATGGTATAATATCTGGCTGCCTGATGATGCAGTGCAGAAAGGCCTACAAGATACTAAAACCGTATACGATGTACGAATCAGGTAAAATTTTAAAATAAGCAGAAACTTATCAATTCTTAAAAATTTTCATCTCACTTTTTTTCTTTTTTTTTAACCTAAGGCATTGCACATTGAAAAAAGAAAATATCGCGTAAGATTGAAATTGTCTTTGTTTTCAATCATAACTCCTTCTATTGAAGGGCAAAATATTAAGAAGAAAATAACTATATTGAGATGAATAAAATGTTTTAATTTTTAATATGTAACGGGAAAACTTAGCTTTCCTCATACTCTCAACAAAATTATTGATGTCCACATAAATGAAGCCGTGTTTTCGATACCGGGTTATTCACATATTGCATTATTATAGATATGCAAACAATACAAATGCAACCTTCTCTTTCCACGGACCCCCCGGAGCGGAAGAATATCCAGGACCGGTCAACTGGACCAGACCTTACTTTGACTGCGGAAGATCTAATACCTGGAAGTTTGCTGCTGTTGTTCCTATTGCAGATATTTACCCTAGACATACACAATTCAGGTAAAAATAATTTATAATATGGAATTAGAATATAATACATAATTACCCATTACAATATTGTATCTTCTATATATATACTTTACTTGTCCGTCAGGGTGTCTGGGTGTTTTTTTGTATCCAATAAACGTCAAAACGGCTGAACTGCTCGGGGCCAAATTTTTTGTGGGACCCCAGGGAACGTTCATGATCGGATTTTCAAAATTTGCTTTTAACAAAACTCGATTTTTTAAATTTTTTAAAAATCCACGAAGTTTTTTTTATAAAATCCAGGATTTTTTTTGTTTTGTTTTACAATGTTTTCAAAAAGAAAATGTTTACAAATTAAATATAAGATGAGCCTATAAATAATATTAAATCCAACTAACAACAAATTTCCCTAATTTTGATTTTACACCTTGTAAGAGGCTCCTCCTCTGAAAATGTGTTTAATAATGGATTTAAATTTGTTTTTGCCTGCACCGCTCATTTATCATTGTATAATTAGAATAGCAGTGAAAAGAAATGACCAAATAAACTCTCGCTTTCTGGTTCAATTAGGCGATAGACAGTAGATATACAGTGTGTCCCACAAAACATGACAGTTGGTGAATAGAATGTCTTCTTCCATTATTTGTTAAGTAGTTTGATACCACAAAGAGAATTTAAAATTGATTTTAAATAAAATATATTTAAACAAAAGATTTGTCTAAGGAAATAAACAAAAAGCCTTTAATATCTAATACAGTATAGGGAAGACGACATTCATAACTATTTATCAACTGTCATGTTTCGAGGGACACCTTGTATTTAAATTAACGAAAATTAATGAAAACGATGGATACATTACGATTAAACAAATTGGTTTAAATCAGAGAGCTTATGATTTGGTACGCTAAAGTAAAGCTGAGATTGAAGCCGAATAAACGGCCTAGATTAGATATACAACCAACGAAACTTCCACAAATTGGATAAATTTGACTTGGCTTGAGAATCAGTTTCTTAGGCTAGCTAGTAGGAGTTAAGCTTGATATATGATTTATAGACTTAGGTGGCAGGTCGTTGAATCTTTAGCGTGAAGATTATGGGGATAAATTTAAGATTCGGACAACATTATTCGAATCAGGGATCATAAAGAAATGGGGACCTTTCAGGGTTATTTCCGAAAATTGATAATTTTCAATCACGTGCTTTAATAGAAAAACGTTTCAAATGATTAACGAAATATGCTTTTAGACACATTGAGTACCCTACATATACTGCAGTTTCAGTTATGGAAATGAATTTTGAAAGGTAAGTTTTTTTGCTTTTGCAATAGAGAATCAACTTAATTTGCAGAAAAAGATGTATATCAATGAGTTTTGTGAATGCTTTATATTATTCTTTTAAAAGTTAGCACCTAGATATGTTTAAACCCCATTTATTTAGATAACCCAGATTATCTGGATATGAGCTTTAATTTACTGAAGACAATAGGACTTTTATATTCTTTTCTAAGCCTTGAGACCTGAGCTCGTAAAATAAAAATCTTGACTATAAAACTAAAAACTTGGGAAATTTCAAAGAGAAAGTATAACATTTTTAATCACACTTGACAAGCTTAAGAAAACAAAATATGACGAAACTTTTTTATAAAAGTTTTAGAAATATAGGTTTTGTGCAACATTGTTAACAGACATTGCAACTCGTTTGGTGTCCAATTTGAATCTACGTAGGTCATTGAGTATAACGTGAACCTTAGTTTCATCACAATTACTTATGATACTAATTTACATTTTACAAGACATTTATTTGGTTTCACTTTAGGATAGACATAAACCAGTGTCCGTTAGGCGAAGGAAACCCTGGACCAAACAAGTTTGCAGACACAGCAAAATGTAAAAAAGGTGAATTCTGATAACTTTCGTTTTTACTTTGAATTTTCGTATTTTGTTCAACTTCTTGATTTATTGCTTTGATAATTGATGCTTATTTTACAGCATTTTTATAGTTTTAAAAATTTCAGGAACAACTGAATGTGAACCTTTACATGGCTGGGGCTTCCGCCGAGGTGGTTATCAATGTCGGTGTAGGCCAGGGTTCCGCCTTCCGAATGTAGTTCGGCGGCCATATCTAGGCGAGATAGTAGAGCGTGCAAGTCCAGCACAGTATGGAAAGCGTGGAAACTTTGACTGTAAACCAATTGGGTTCATTCAGAAACTACCAGTTGAAAAGGTACCTAGATTCTTTTTAAAGGAGCAGTAGCAAAACATTTTTTGTATCGAACTTATTTCACAATTCCACATTTCCAAATTTTCGATAAATCTCCTTGGCGAAACTTTGAAATAATAGAAATTTTGTCTTTGATTAAAAATTTTCTCCAACCCCTTTTTTATTTAAAGTCGAAAAATATCTGTTTAACATATTTTTCAAATACATATTTGGATTTTGGCTTTGCAACTAAATTTGACAATTAACGACCAAGTATGATTTTTAACAAACTCGATATGCTTCCAAAAGTCACACCGTAATTAAAGCGGCTCTTTAACAAAAATCAATGCAAATTACAAGTAGTATTAATTTGAACTTAATTGTTTAATGAATTTCATTATTCACTATTTTGGTTATACCGATTACAGACTGTCAAACTAACTTCTATTTATAAAAAAATCGAGAATTTACTGACATCGATTCCAATGAAAATATCAATTTACTCCAAACTGATAGAATTTTTGAAACTTTGTATTTACCAAATGTTTGCATTAAATTTCTTACATAACAATAAAACAACGAAATAATAACATATTTTTAAATTCTAACTTAAAGATGCAATTTTGTTAAGTTGAGGTTTCGTTAATATTTTGACACTTAGAAAAATTCGTTTACGAAAATATACGTAAAAAATACTCTAAAAAAATACAATTTTTAAGTAAAAAAAACTCGAAAAAATATGTATTTTTAGTTTTGTATCAAAGTTACCAACTCTAAAAAGCAAACAATTTTAAAGTAAAAAATCTTTAAAATACGTTATTAGGGCATCCATCCATCCTCCATCGGTTTAAGACGTAAAAATTGACAAACTAGTTAATCGTCTTAAAAGGTTAATTTTTAAATAAATCACCTCCCCCCCCCCTCCATAGGTATAATGTTAAAAGTCGTTCCTGTCAGCAGCCTTCATATTCATGACATTGTTTCCCGACGCAACTTTAAACATTTAGCCTAATTTGACAGTTTTGTTGTTAAGACTTGTCACATTTGTCTTCATAAAATGCAATGTAATACATTTAAAAGCTGATTTTGCTGGCTTTGGCATTTTTTAACACCTGGTTTGAGAATTGTATGTATTGTCATGTCACACCTTGACTGTCACACTTCATTGGAGAACCGCAAACAGGTGTCCATAAAATACTGTAATAACTGCTCTAAATAAAAGATTTACTAAGAACTAACTAAACACAAAATGAAACAGTACATGATGGAAATAACTTAAAAAGGAGACTAAATAGATTATGTTTATAAATAAATGGTATCTTGTTGCTGGTGGTGATCAAAGTAGGGGGTTTAGTTTAAAGTTGCAAAAAATCAATCAGAATTTCTTGAAATCTCGCATTTAATTGCTTCTTAAAGACTAAAGAATGCGGGGACAAAATAAGCGTAATAAATATCAAGTCTCTATTATTTCTAAAGAAAAATATAATGTGCCCATAAAAATAGGTTCATATATATTTTACTTAATCCATTATTATTATTAACATATACACTTTTAATGTTATGTTATGTTAATCCTAAATCGACGCGGACAGCAATTGATTTCAGATTCCATTAGTTTATAATCGGAATGCTATATACTTTGGAGAAAACAACTCAGCGGGAGCGGTTGAACCAGCGGTTGAGATCTAGCATAGACTCTACGCAGTTCAGAATAATTTGTTCGCACTTTTTCAACAAATGAAATATTTTTCAACAAATGAAATATAATTTTTCATGAATAACGTTTTCTGATTTTTTAGCAACTTTTTTGCTTTCAACCGCTGGTTTTCAGATTTTTCAGCAACTTTTTACTTTAAACCACTGTTTTAAATATTTTTCAGCAATTTTTTTGCTTTCAACTGTTTTCAGATTTTTCAGCAACTTTTTTGATTTCAACCGCTGTTTTTCAGATTTTTCAGCAACTTTTTTGCTTGTAACCGCCGGTTTTCAGATCTTTCAGAATTTTTTTACTTTCAACCGCTGGTTTAAAGATTTTTCAGCAACTTTTTGCTGACAACCGTTTCAGATATTTCAACAACTTTTTGCTGACATCTGTTTTCAGATATTTCAACAACTTTTTTGCTTTTAACCGCTGGTTTAAAGATTTTTAGCAACTTTTTAACTTTCAACCGCTGATTTTAAGATTTTTCAGCAACTTTTTTGCTTTCAACTGCTGGTTTAAAGAATTTTCAGCAACTTTTTTGCTTGTAACCGCCGGTTTTCAGATTTTTCAGAACTTTTTTACTTTCAACCACTGGTTTAAAGATATTTCAGCAACTTTTTTGCTTTCAGCCGCTGGTTTAATGATTTTTTTTGCACTTTTTAACTTTCAACCACTAATTTTAAGATTTTTCAGCAATTTTTTTGCTTGCAACCGCCAGTTTACAGATTTTTCAGAACTTTTTTACTTTCAACCGCTGGTTTAAAGATTTTTCAGCAACATTTTGCTTACAACCGTTTTCAGATATTTTAGCAACTTTTTTGCTTGCAACCGCTGTTTTTCAGATTTTTCAGCAACTTTTTTACTTACAACCGTTTTCAGATATTTCAACAACTTTTTTTGCTTTCAACCACTGGTTTAAATATTTTTCAGCAACTTTTTAACTTTCGATAGCTGATTTAAAGATTTTTCAGCAACTTTTTTACAGCGGTTGAAATCAGAAAAAGTTGCTGAAAAATCTTTAAATCAGCGGTTGAAAGTTAAAAAGTTGCTGAAAAAAAAAATTGCTGAAAAATCTTTAAATCATTGGCTGAAAGTTAAAAAGTTGCTGGAAAAAAATTTGCTGAAAAATCTTTAAACCAGCGGTTGAAAGCAAAAAAGTTGCTGAAAAATCTTTAAATCAGCGATTGAAAGTTAAAAAGTTGCTGAACAATCGGAAAAACAGCGGTTGAAAGCAAAAAGTTGCTGAAATATTGGAAAACGGTTGTAAGCAAAAGGTTGCTGAAAAATCTTTAAACCAGCGGTTGAAAGCAAAAAAGTTCTGAAAAATCTGAAAACCAGCGGTTAAAATCAAAAAAGTTAGCGGCTGAACAAATTTTAAATTTGAGCAAAAAAGATGCAATTCTTATTCTGAACTGCGTAGAGTCTAGGCTATATCTCAACCGCTGGTTCAACCGCTCCCGCTGAGTTTTTTTTCTCCAAAGTATATATCATTCTTATAATCGTAACTAATTGTAATGTGTTTGAAAGCGATAAAAATGTAACGTACTGATTCTAATATTTTGTTATATTTATATAGTTTAACATTGAATAAAGTGTTTAAGAAGAATTAATGAATACACCCAATTCATGAATAAACCTTGAAGATATTAAATTATCTTGAATTAAATGGATATCATTATCTAAACAGATAGATGAATTGTCAATCATCATTATTGTGTTTGATTGAATTAATATACAGTGAAACCCTTAATAACGAATACATCGAAAGAATTCATCAAACGTCGTATTTTTCACTTTCTGATATAGAATGTTGCAGATATTTAGTTTTTTAATTAAATGATTATATGGAACTCTTTAAAACTGTTCCCGCATATTCATGGATATTTATTTATTTTCGCAAATACTGACGTAATATAGTATAAAACTCATCGAACAATTGTCAAGACGACATTTGATAAATTCTTCCGGTGTATTCGTTATTAAGGGTTTCACTGTAACATTTTTCAGTTTTTTAAAATTATTGTCGGAGACCATGAATTCGGATGTACTTTTAAAGAAACAATACTTGTAGAGCCCCCCTATGAAATTAGCAAAACTATGCATTAACAACAATAATGCAAACTACACAAGACAATAAAAACTCTCCAATTTAGACCTATTCTCTTCCGTGGATGCGTGAGCAGTACACAGAACAATACTTTGAGTACAAAAACTACACCAGCCAACAAGAATGGAGTCTTAAATCTGTACATCACAGGTTAGAATCTTATTCAGTTTTGTCGAAATCATGCAGCAGGTACCATAAAAGTATAAAATGGTAAGAATGCTTTAAGGCTCTAGTTATGATTTTAAATAGCAATTAGGCAGTGTTCTACTTTAGTAAAACTATTTGAGCCGTAACAACATTAAATACACTCGAATATTGTTTTAATGTCGTCTTAATTAACATTCCTAACAAAAAGTTTTTAAAAATCCCAAACGTGTACAGTTGGACCTAAAAAACTGTGGAATTGGAGTACGACTGTAAGCTATCTTTTAATATCAAATATAATAATATAATGATATATATAATAATGCAGCTTTAGATGGAAAATAAAGCGTGGTTATAAGGAAGGATTGTGTTTAAAGGGGAAACGAGATCTCCTTGATCGAAAACATCTTGCAAAGAACTATTACAGAATACCACCAAAATTCTGTTCTAAACTATAGACACGCTTAAAAATATTATAAACTTATAAATATGTAGATACAATCTATATATATACTTTGCTTGTCTGTTTGTTTATTTGTTTGTGTCCAATAAACGTCAAAACGGCTAAACTGATCGGGTCCAATTTTGTGTGGGACCTAACATGACCCCAGGGAAGGCTAATGATTGATCAAAATTTCAATAATTAGCCTCCAACAAAATTCGATTTCCATTGAATTTTGAAAATCCACAATATTTTTTTTAGAAAATTCGCAAACTTTTTTTTGTTTTGCAATGTATACAAAAAGTAAATGTTCACAATGGAAATAGAAGATGAGCGCGAAGCGCCCTGAAAGCCTAGTCTTTATATATACTTTGCTTGTCTGTAAGGATGTTTGTATATTCAATAAACGTCAAAACTGCTGAACCGATCGGGCCCGAATTTTGTGCTCAAAACTATAGAAATTTGAATTCTTAAGTGTTTAATTTTTGTAAAAAATTTGTAAATGCGCGAACAACTATTATGAAATTCGCGAACTTTTTTTCTGTTATTGTTTTATATTGTATACAAAGAAAAGATGCTCACAGATAGAGCCACAATTAAAAGTTAAAATCGAGGATGGGCGGGAAGCGCCCTAAAAGCCTAGTATTTTAAAAATTACTCTTTTCCTTCAGCCTTTCCAATCTTCCCCTCTCCCGATACAGCCCCCCCCCCCCGAAAAACTATATTAATGCATTGCAAACTATCGCTGTCCTGTCCAATGTAAAAAATTCCACAACCCAATATTTCTTAATCTATCTCCCTCTCCCTAGTCCCTGTACCTTTATTCTACCACCTTTTCACCTTAAATATACCCTTACAGCCAACATCCTTACAACTTCTAATGGCTAGGGCTGGGCAACCTTTCCGTTCACCAATTTTTGAAAATTAAATAATGTTCCGCTAACAAACGGCAAAAATCGTTAATTTTAAAATCGTCAACGAAAGGCAATAACCGTGGATTGAAAAAAATATCGGAAAACTAAAAGGAACCAACGGATGTTTTTTAAAACAACGCGGCCACTTTATTTTATTTGTCTGTGTAAATTAAAAGTTTTTTGGTGTAGGTGAACGGATACCTGAAAAGAAACGGTTAGCTGTTTTAACCAACCGTTAACTGACGGGTTTTTAAAAGTCTAAGCCTGTCCAGCCCTACCAATGGGCAATGTTTTGATCATTTAAATGCGCTTTAAAAGAATCTAGCTTTTCCTGAAGTTTTCTCTCTAAAAGTCGCCCCACTCAACTTAGAATTTTTAAACCAAGGTGAGAACATTCCCGTAGTTCACCAAACCAACGGTCCCCAATCAAATTTAAGGCAAGCCAGTCAAAAGGTTTATGAGTCATAATCGAACATAAGATTACTACTTTATATATAAATAGATGCAAAAAATTTTCTAACCAAAGCTATATTACTCAAATCGATTTCAAACGAATCTTGCTTATAGTTTTGAATGATAGAGTATCATATCGTTAATCCGGGCCGATCCCTAAAACCAGTTTGTGCTGCAGTGCAGACATATTTTTAAATATTCATGTACTAATCCTGTATTCGGGTTGATAATTCTGTATTTGGGTTGATATTTGTAATGGCAGACATTTTTAGATTGAAATAATAAAAAATTAGATTTTTAAATGTTTTTGCATTTATTCATGGAGTTATAAGCAGTTCAAGAGTTTTGTAGTTTTCCAGTTTTGAAGTTTTGAAGTTTTCCAGTTTTAAAGTTTTAAAGTATTGAAGTGCTGAAGTGTTCTAGTTTTGGAGTTATCAATAAAGTAAGATTAAAATTTTTTTATGTCTGGTTCAGTGGCTAAAATTTCCGGAAATTCATGAAAATTGTCCCTTTATGTCCTTTGTGCTTATTACAAGGTAGTTTAGATTGCAGCCCTAACTGTTATAATCAAGTGCCACATTTTCTGGAATTCGACGTGATGATACTCTATCGTTTTGAATATATCACTCCAAACGTGGTAGACAAAAATCCCTGTCACAGGACCAAATAGGCGGATATGACTAAAATCACTTTTTAAAAGTATTTTTTTAATGAATTACACCAGTAATGGCTACAGTTTTAGTACAAGGACAATGTCGGATAATGTAGTGGATCATTCCCTAGATGGGAGGAACGCGTAAAAATTAGAAATACTGTAGAAAATAGGAGCAGAGCTATCCAGCAGACGATTTTCAAATCTCAGATGCTCTTTAAATTCTTCTAAAACTAGAATGTTAGAATCAAAACTATGCCCATCCCTATCTTATACAACACCTCGATAACATACCCTTCATCATCAAACCACTCAGTTTCTCTAATCAACAACCGTTAACGGCCTGAAATTGATGAAGAAGGAAAAAAAATTTATTATTTCATTGATAAAAATTTAAAATGTATATGAGAATCTGAGAGTCTTGTGTACAAAATAAAGATCAATACTTAAAAATCAAGGAAATTAACGCTATAGTGCTCTTGTATTTACTGGGTCCTGAAGAAAGTTTGTAGAAAAATAATGTAAATGGGAAACTTGAAAGGAATTATTATAACTTGTATGACTTGAAGTGTGAACATAAAAGATTACTAAAGTTGAGATCTTCATTCAATATAATTCATTCATATATATGTATGTATTTAAGTATAGCGTCTCTTTTTAACAACTGTCTTACATTTTTTTAATACTTCATAGCTCTAAAGCGCTGATATAAATTGATTATTTATGTTTGTTTTTACACTCATTATTGACTTAAAATATTAACTCAATATTTTTACAATGTCTTCTATATATAAATTTGGCTTGTCTGTTTGTTTGTCTGTTTGTATCTAATAAACGTCAAAACGGCTGAACCGATCGGGCCCAAATTTCTTGTGGGACATCATGTGACCACAGGGAAGGTTTATGAATGATAAAAATTAAAAAAAAAATGTGTTTTAAAGGTTTTTAATTTTGTAAAAAAATTAAATTCTTGAAAATCCGCGAATTTATTTTTAAATCCGCAAAATTTTTTCTTTGTTTTAACATGTAAGCAAAAAAACATGTTCACAATCTAAATAGAAGATGGGCGCGAAGCGCCATAAAAGCCTAGTATCTAATGATTTGAGAAAGATAACAAGTTTACGGTAGAGGGGAATCATGAATATTATAAGAAAACAGACAGTATACATTCCGTACTGTCTGAAGTCTCAACCTTTGTTGTTAACCCTGTAGTAGTCTTTAAACATTGAAACCTCTTAAATTCATTAATCGTATTTAAAATGAATTAAGTTAGACCTCCCATTGTCAAAACATTTGCTGACACGTAGACTCACCCCATAATTAGAAAATTATACAAGAAATATGGCATACTAGATGCATATGAAGACATAATTGAAAATTTTTAGCTAGATCATTCTCACTGCTCGCAGCAGGGGTTTCTGTGTTATATTCTCATCACAGCTCAGGGCCAAGGGGGTTCTAAAGATTTAGAGCACAACTTTTACATCTTAATTGCATTAAACCTTAAAAAACGGCTATCAGAAAACGTTTAATTTGGGGCGTATACAGGAATTTGACCAAAGGGGTCTTAATTTTTTCCAGTTTGGAGGAGACTATTTTCTAAAGGTTGCAATCTCCCAAGCAAAAATCGATGAGAAACACGTCCTTTATATTTTAAAATTTACATGTCATGGACTACAAAAAAGTATAAGTGAGGTAAAATCAATGACTATTGTGTTGCAAGTTGGCCCAGTCTTGAAAGTTGAACTTTGTTTGGATCTATGTGGATGGGGGGGGGGGGTGTAGCACTCTTCTGTTCCTGAAACCCCTAGCAACCATAGATTTCACTGACTCGTATGCCTTTGAGTGCATTGCATTTTTGTATAGGCTGTTTTTAAATCTGCAATTATTTTTTTATAAAATTTCAAGGTTTTCTTTAGATTATCTGAACTAGCGTTCGCCCTACCCGAAAATTAAAATACTATATTGACAGCACAACTTTGCGCATTTGCAACGCCTTGGTTTTTAGCTGTTATTCTAAGACCAACTGACGACGAGGATTTTCCCCTGAAAGGCTTATCGTTTAATTTTTTTTTCTGTGGGATGTTTTTAAACATAAGTTAAACATTTTTTTGCTATAAAAATAGATTCTACAATTATTAAATACTAGAAATTCAAAGCGCTTCGCGCCCTTTTTTCTAGGCTTTTAGGGCGCTTCGCGCCTATCTTCTATTTAAATTGTGAACATGTTCTTTAAATTTAAATATTTTTACAAAATTAAAAACCTTTAAAATACATTTTTTTAAATTTTTTATCATTCATAAAACTTCCCTGTGGTCACGTGATGTCTCACAAAAAAGTGGGCCCGATCGTTTCAGCAGTTTTGACGTTTATTGAATACAAACAAACAGACACCCAGACAGACAAGCCAAATTTATATGTAGAAGGCGTAGATTATTGAATGAGGATAACAAATTCATCAATTTGTTGTCCAATTATTAAGATCAAACACCATTCATTCTTTCTTTTTATTGGCTTTCTTTTCCTACGTCACAATTTTTTCTTGTTCACTTGAAAGATGTTTTCTTGGCGTTTAATCTAACTTTTTAAGCAGTAAACTTTTTTGCTGAAAATATTGTCTTGTGAAGAATATTTATTGCTAAAATTCTATACGTTGCTGGGGAAATTTAATCAAAATTCCTGGTGAGGTAATTATTTAAAAGAGATCTCAAGCTTCCAATATAGCATTCCTGGGGATCCATCATTCTATTCATTTACTCATTCATCCTCTATTAATTTGCACCTATTCACCCATTCACTATTCAATTCAGCTATTCTTCCATCCACAATTCAATTCACTTATTCATTTAACCGTTTCATTCATTTATTCATTTAACCATCCTATTCAGTTATTCACTCATTCGTTCCATTAACTTATTCATTCAACAATTCCATTCATTTAATCTTTTAATTGCAGAGCAAAGAATAAAGCCTTTTACATGCATCACATTCAGGAAAAGGGGGGCAGTAATCCTTAACTAAAAATATGCTATATAGAAGTTTTTGACAAAAAAATTAACAAAAATCTACTGCGAACATCAAACATGATTATAAAACAAGGGATTAGTTGGCAAATTTCTAGATCAGATACTTAATGCAAACAATTTGAATGTAAAAATGAAAATCGGTTCAAAAATAAGGCTCTCATATCAATCATAAAAAGATATATATATTCATATTTAAATTATTAGGCTTTCTTCGATTTTAACTTTTAATTGTTGCTCTATTTTCGGTTTTTTTCGTTTTAAATTATCAAACAATAACCAAAATAATTTCCGCGTATTTATCGATTTTTTTTCTTGTATATTGAAAAATCAACAAAAAAGCACTAAAAATATTTAAATTAATGCAGAGGACCATTTGTAGAATAAAAATTAATATAGTTCTAAACAACTTTTTTTAATGGTTAGTAAAAAAAATCAAGTTCACAGATCCATTAAACCAATGATATAAGAAAATAGACAGAATAAAATCTGTACAGTCGTCTCTGAAGTCTCATCCTTTTTGGGCTCCTCTGTATGTAAGAAGAGTACAAAAACTATTTCAGGGGATATTAGTTCCAAAGACTAACACTTGGCCCATTTCTAACACTGAGTGTTAGAAATAAAAACAAACTGTTCTTTTATAATTTAAAAATTATTACAGCATTTAGAAATCAAAATATTAATATAATTTGTTCTTACAATATAGATTTGACTAGAAATGCGGGAAACTGTTTGTTTAAAATGTTGAAAATAAATCATCCAAATTCTCTCATTTAACAGATAAAATGTGGAAACTTAGATTCTAGAAATAATTCAGAAGTTAATTTAGTCTTCATAAGATAATTTTTGTTTTCAGTGATTTATTTTGTAGGCTATGAAAGTGAGTTTTGTTTTGAATTGTGGATTATATTCAAAAACGGGAAAGTTGGTTTAGTCTCGAAAACGCGACAATGTTTTAAATTCAATAAATGTTCGAAAAATGGAAAACATAGCATTGTCTTGAAAACGGTCAAGAGCTTTAATATAAAAAGAACTCCTATTATAATTTTGATTTAAAAAAAATTTTAAAATTGGGAATTGTTGTCCTCGGCATGTAATAAAATGTTGGTAATAGTTTTACTATTGACTTTTACTCTGGATATGGGCCGAGATCCCAAAAACCCAGTCTTTGCCACAAACTCTGGTTTTTAAATCCCCAAATCCTAACAACCCAATGTTGAAGACCTTAGATATTTCAAACTATGACTTCTGTTATATCAAACAATCAAAGTTTGAAAGATCTAAGTTTTACATAATTTGGTTGTAGATATATAGGTATTAGAAAATTGGGATTTGTTGCAAAGACTCAATTCCTTTGTGCCCAATTTTAATACTCAGTGTTAGGAATGGGCCAAGTGTTAGTTTTGGAACTAATGTCCCCTGTATTTAAAGGTTTTTAGTATATCAATTTTGTTTCTTGGTTTCCAAATCTCCAAGATACGTTTGTATTAATATAATCAAAACATATAAAATACAGTTTAATAATGATACAGATAGATAAGATATTCATATTCATTAAGTTGAGTAGTTGAATAGTAGTTGTATAGAAAGACAGATGCAGTGGAACTCCGCATCGCTGAGTGTAAAAGACGGCGGATAACTCTCTGCTCCTCAGTCTTAGACCAAACCTTGTTGAGAAACATTATACTTGTAACTTTAAAGAAGCATACTTTAGAATAAGATCATCTCATAAAGCACGGAAAAAATCAGCTATTTTACTTGGCTTTGCTAGACTCTTAAAAATATAATGAAATAACTATTCCAACATATGTACATCGCCAAGGGTCCATGTTGTATTCACCAAAAAATAGGGGAATGATTGCCAACTTCTTTCATTCTTTCATATTGGTATGTCCATAATGATTTGGTATTTTCTAATTGTTATGGCTGATATGTTTCTAAAATGATAAGGGTACATATTTAGTAAATCCCACTGTATTCTGGTTACCACTGTACTTATCAAAACATTAAAAGATGAGTAAACAAATTCGATTAACTCAACCCTTGACTAGCATTTAATATACATTCCCGTGTAGCCACATCAGCATGTTAAAATTTAAATTTAAAACAAATCCAGAGTTTAGTTCCTAAAGAAAAACATAGCATGTCTGCTTAAAATCCAGCTAAGATAATAAAGATATTACATATTACATAGTGGATAAGACTCAGTTCCTTTGTTAACAGTTTATAGGATTGTAAGCTTGATTTTTAAATCTAACAATTTTAACCCTGCAGAAAGAAAAATGGATAGCGAAGAGTTTAAGGTACGGGGAAGACAGATGGTGGACTACATAGTCCAATACCTGGAAGATATCGAGGGCCGTAGAGTTACACCTGGCATTGAACCTGGATATCTGAGTAATCTAATCCCTGCTTCACCTCCCCATGATGCTGAGCCCTGGGAGGATGTTATGAGAGATGTTGAGGACAAAATTATGGTTGGAATGACCCATTGGCAACATCCTAGATTTCATGCATATTTTCCAGCAGGAAATTCATATCCAAGTATTTTGGCTGACATGCTGTCTGATGCAATTGGATGTGTTGGTTTCTCATGGGCTGCAGCTCCAGCTTGCACTGAGTTGGAGACAATTGTACTGGACTGGCTTGGAAAAATGATTGGTCTTCCCGCAACCTTTTTATCTCGCTCCCCAGGAAGTAAGGGAGGAGGTGTAATTCAATCCTGTGCTAGTGAATGTGTTCTTGATTGCATTTTGGCAGCTAGAACACATGCAATCAGGCAGCTGAGGAAGAAGTATGGAGACACCATAGCAGAAGAAACAACTTTACTTTCGAAACTGATGGCATATTGCTCTAAGGAAGCACATTCATGTGTAGAAAAGGCAGCAATGATTGGATTTGTAAAGCTCAGAATCCTTGAACCTGATGAAAATAATGAACTAAGAGGCAACATTCTAAAGAAGGCAATGGAGGAGGACAAAAAAAACGGGTTGTACCCTTTCTTTGTTTGTACAACATTGGGAACTACTGGATGTTGTGCCTTTGATCGACTTGATGAAATCGGGCCAATCTGTCAAGAAAACGGAGCCTGGCTACATGTTGATGCATCCTATGCTGGTAGTGCATTTATATGTCCTGAGTTTAGGCATCTAATGAAGGGAGTAGAGTATGCAGATTCATTTAACATGAATCCTAACAAGTGGATGCTAGTAAATTTTGACTGTAGCACGATGTGGGTGAAAGATAGGTACAAGCTAACTCAGGCGCTTGTTGTTGATCCACTTTACCTTCAGCACTCCTACTCTGAATCAGCAATTGATTACAGACATTGGGGAATACCTCTAAGTCGCAGATTTCGATCTCTCAAGCTCTGGTTTGTAATCAGAAACTATGGAGTGTCTGGACTACAGGCATATATCAGAAACCACTGCCAACTAGCAAAAGTTTTTGAGGAAAGGGTCAAGGCTGACCCCAGGTTCAAAGTAATGAATGATGTTAAAGTGGGATTGGTGTGCTTTCGATTACTTGGATCCAATTCTCTAAATCAGAAGCTGCTCACAGCCCTCAATGAGTCGGGTCGACTTCACATGGTTCCTTCTAGCGTGAAGGACAAGTTTGTTATTCGGTTTTGTGTCTGTGCCCAAAATGCTACTGAACAGGATATTGATGTGGCATGGAAGATTATTCAGGGAAAATACACATGATTTATAAAATAATGCAAAATAAAAAATTTTAGCAGGTTTTATTCTCTTTTTTAGATTGATTAGTTGTAATTTTCATTCAAGCAATTTTCATTAAGACCGGATTTTTATAGCAATTGAGTTTAATACTACGACTTAAAAATACTATTTTGTTTAAACCATGTGTTGGAAAAGGAGGTAGCTGAACAAACTCAGAAACTGGTTGATGAGGAAAAGAAAATAGAAGACCAGGAGAAAGACGATGACATCAAGACCATGCTTGAAAAGAAGTCTGCTAAAGACCTTCAACAGAAGCGCAGCTTTTTTGTTCGAATGGTGTCTGATCCCAAACTTTACAACCCACATATTGTTAAGGGAAAGCAAATATCAGCATTTTTTTAACGTCTGTAATCTGCAAATAAAAAAACTGAGTTCTTGCAACAAACTAAAATGAGCTGTTATTTTCTCATCCCTATATTTTTGCAACCTGAACCCTTTGATATGTCAAACTTTGGCTATTTGTTCTAACAGAAATCAGTGTTTGAAATAACAAAGGGTTTCAAAATCTTGTTGCAAAGATATAGGGATTCAAAAATCAGAGTTTGTGGTAAAAACTCCGTTTCTTTTTTAATTTTTACTTGTAAAGTACAATTTCCTTGTGCCTTCTCATTAAAACATATAGCAGTCCTGTAGTCCTCATTCCACACTCTCCAGTCTCCACATGTACCTAGCTGTACCATTATTTATCAAATCCTAAAATATTTCCTAAAACCGTCCTAGTTCATATCTATGTAATGTAGAAAAAATATATATTGAAAATATAAATTGCATGGTAATTGCCTATTATTTAGTTGGATTCTAGTCTATCACAACCTATGACTGAAAGGGAAACTGAATCTTGGATCTCATGGCCTCTAGCAGTTCTCTCAAATGGTGGAATTGAGGAGCTAAACATGAGGTTTAGGAGCTGGAACACAACTTTGTCAATTTCCCCTCAAACCACACGCTCCTCTTCCTCATCCTCCTCCCCTACGCATAAGGCGGACACAACAGACAAAATTAAAATGAAGGCATAATATGCTTTTATACTTTGTATACAAACATTATGCTGATATATGTATATGTTTTGAAAATATCATGTGTCAGGGTCGTTTGGTTAAATTTACTTGAATCAAGATATTTTGGCTGGAGTTTACTGTTTAAACACTATACACACTTCATGTGGTGAAATTTCATATTTCAAGATGAACAATTTATATTCATGTTGAGCTACTTCCTTCATTGGTTTATCATGGATACATTTCCAGTCATTCCAGCAATTAAATTTTCAGATATATTTTAGTATTAATAACATTAAAACATTAAAACGAGGTTTTTGAACCAAAAGAAAGAGCAAAGACGACAATTTTTCCGCTTTTAATTGGTTGCTAATTTTTCTAGTAAGACTAGGTTTAATAATTTCAAAAAATGCTATTGGTTTCTGAAAATATAGTTATAACTGTTTTTGAATCATTACAATATGTTCTGATAAGAAAAATTCGAATTAAAAACTGTGAAAAAAATTCTAAAGAATATCTTTAAAAAAACAGAAATGTGTAAAGTTTATTGCACTTTCATTGAAAAGAGAGTAGATGAGTTTGAAAATGTAATGAATAATGAATGATGTTCCATGCACCCTTCCGAATTTGGACTTTAAAGATAAAGCTATGTAGATTAAGTGTAAGCTTTATTCATTTCAATAGATTTAATCATTTGTATATATGAAAATGGCTTTTTGTTGTTGGACGGAGCAATGTGACAAAAGTATTGACCCTTGAACATTTTTTAAAATTAGAATATACAAATACAAAAATTGTAGAACTAATAACAAACATGACGACATCTTTTGCTGTATTCTGTGATGTAACCAACATTAGATATCACACGAATAGCACTATACCTGTCCTATATATATCAAGCATTTTTTGCAAAATTGTTTTAAGTTCTTTATAATCTGTAAAAGCTAAAGTTTTTTTTATAAATTTAATGACTAAGATCAATAGCTGTATTACTATTAGATGTGGGTTTTCAATAAAAATACATAAATCTGTGTTTTCTAAATGATGAGAGCGTGCAGACTACAGATATTTATATTAATACCAGTTAATGAAATCCCTGGCTTAAGTTTGTTGTTATTGATAAAAAGATTAGCTCGGACATGTATTTTGTATATATGTTGTAGATAGAATGCAAAAAAATTTGTAGACCGAATGTATGGGGCTTGACCTCATCTCGAAGACTGCAGGCCCCTTTGTGATAAAGCTGCAGCGCTCGGTCCAGATCGGCAGCCGCTCTGTTTAGCCTTGAATTAACTTTAAAAAAAATATATGCAATAACAGTCCTTAAAAATTTAGTTTTTTAATAAGTATGCATCTAACCTGCATTTGTTTATTTGTGTACAAAAAACGTAGTGCATTTCCAACCAACCAAACTTCTACATCCGAACTACAAGAAAAGTACAATCAACCAACAGAAAGTGTACATCCGACCTACAAATTATTATTTTGTTTGTTTGAATTAATACTATACATGACTTCTTCCTATATATTGAATCTTTGTGTTAAAATTTTTACGGGTATCTGGTGTGTGTAGTTAATATTTCATTTTAAACACTTTTTCATTTGAGTATTAAAATGTTGTTGCTTTCGAACCGTATATATGTATATATATATATATATATATATATACTAGCCTTAGAGGGCGCTTCGCGCCCATCTTCTAAATTAATTGTGAACATGTTCTCTTTGTGTACATCGTAAAACAAAACAAAAATAATTCGCGGATTTTAACAAAAAATTTCGTGGATTTTCAAATTTAATGAAGATCGAATTTTGATGGAGTCCCTAGATGTCCCACAAAAAATTTGAGCCCGATCGGTTCAGCCGTTTTGACGTTTATTGGATACAAACAGACAGACAAACAGACAGACAAGCCAAATTTATATATAGATTTATATATGCACTAATATGAAACTGGAGAAACGGAGTCAGAATGACAAATCTTTTTTATTCGGAACTAAAGAGCCAAGAAAGAATTTTAAAAACTTAAGACAATACAAGTTCTTTGAAAGTTTTTTTTTGGATTTAATCATTTGACTAAGTTAATCAGAGCTGGAAACTTTTAAATTGTAGATATCGGGATTAAGGCCTGATCCCCTCTTTTTCTTAATCTCGAGATTTATTAAGGCTTGCTCTCCTCTTGTTATTAATCTTTAGATTAATTAACCGATCGGGATTAAGGATTTCCCATTCTAAAGTTTTTAGCTCAGTAAGTTTAATTACATCATTGAGATTATTAATCTTTGACCTGAGTTTTAATGGTTTCCTTTGTTTAGGGAGTCCGTAGGCACAAAGAAGATAAATGTTGATGAGGTGCTGAACTATATTCACAGTATCAACCCTACCAACTGTAAAAATAAAACTGAGGAGGACCTTCAGCTGAAGGTAATTCAGAAAATGATATCTAATAAAACATTACAATTAAACTCTATAAAGCACTAAAGACGTTACGTGACCCTACATCTAAAGAGAGATATGCCCGATTTCACAACGATACCCTTGAACATTTAATCTGGACAATAATGTAGATGCAAATGTTGTTTTACTGACTCGAAAATTGAAAAATTGTACCGTCGTGAATCGGTCATGCCACCTTGAATTGTTTCCTCTTTTGTAGGATGAATATGTGACGCAACATTTCAAAGGAAAATATTGATAAAAAAAAACATTTTAGGGAGATATATCATACGGAGCATCTATACAATTCGAGAATGAAGCTCTGATGGCAGTTAGAACTGCTAATTTTATATCGGCGTTCCTACAAGTTGTAGATCCCAAGGAGATTTTTCCAGGTTTAATTTATAGATTTGAAGTTTTGACCAAGGAAGGTTCTCAAACTAAAAACTGAAAAAAAAATAAAAAATCTAATACACATAAAGAAATATTAAAGTTTGATTATACGTAAAGCCATGGGCCTAAAGGTCTAACTATCGGGGTTGCAGTGCATAATCATTAGGGCTCTTATTAAATTTTACAGGTCCGCCTTATAATGGCTTTATTAGGGGGAAGCATGAGAATCTGGCTTATTTTCTGGATCTGTGTTTTCATATTCTTGAATTAAGGAACAAGGGTTGTGGATGAACCATTAACAGAAGATCAGATGATCGGAGAAGCTCTGGCTATGGTGATGGGAAACAGCAGGGATATGATAATATTTTGAATTTGGCTTGTCTGTCTGTATCCAATGATTTTTATTGGAAGAAGGGCGCAAAACGTCCTAAAAGCCTAGTCATTTAAAAATTGAAATAAAAAATTGCATTAAAAAAGAATAGTTTAAAATAAAATTGAATATTTAATTCAAAATTAAAACGAATATTTGTATATCAATAGAATCTGGTCAGCTGGAATATATTTTGATACAAGTCAATTTGTTGTAAAGGTAAACAAGTTTGAAATTGTGTAAAACAACGTGAATCTAAGTTGGCCTAGAAGTAAATAAAAATTACAGTTTAAATGTTTACACGTAGTTTTAATTTTGTTCTTCAAATTTTGCAGCCTAATCGACAGCAGGGAAACCAAGGTCCTCAGAACGATCCAAGACATAATACCAGGTTTAATTTATTTAATTTTATGAGTATTTGTCGACTGTTCTTGTTAAATATAATATGATTAAAGATTAGTACAGTGAATCCAAGATATATGAATACATAGCATGGAATATGTTATAATATCTATTACATATATTTAAGATCAAATGCCGCGGAAAAATGAGTTTAATATTAAAATATCAATTGCATTCATATTTTAGGGCTATTAATTTACCTTGAATTTAAAATAAAAAGAAGTTTCTTTATAATCATCAAAAAAAACTTATGACGGTCTATGTATTTATATATCTAGAATTCACTGTATTATAAATAATAATAATACTGTATTAACTTTCTGTGGTTTAGAACATATTTTGCTCCATTTGCTTACAAGACAGAGTTGAACACGAGGAAATTCAATCTGGAGGATCTTGCTAGGTAAACAAAACCCATTTCTAACTCAAATAAAACTTTTTTTTTTTTTAAATAAATCTTTTTTGGAAAAACAAAACTTCACAGTCCAAGTTTATTCTATAAAAGATGCTGACTCAATGTTTGTTTATATATTTAGATTGAATAACAGTGCTGAAATCTACACGAATGAAAAATGGTTCAAGGCTTTAAAATCTCGGTGGTCCAATTACTTTGATACTCTAGAGAAACATTGGCTCAAAATGTATTTCAGGTAATTCGGTTCTACTTGGTGGTTTCCCTTTCCTTTCCTTTGTGTTCTTTTAAAGGGAGTGTTCGCGAAAAATGAAAGGGGGTATAGGCTTAATGCGATAAAAAAGCGCTTTTGATCGCTACTAATCTTACTTCTATCTGTTGCGTCTATGAGGAGAAAATTGTTAAAGACGTCTCATACCGAATAACATGGCGTCCATACAAATTGAGAAAATTGCATCATGTGACTTAGACCGAAAAAAATCAATTTAATTTTAAACTAATCATTCAGATATTACAACCTATAGTCATCGATTATCTTTCGCCACATTTGTATATATTTAATATTTCATACTAGTTTTGATTTTGTTTTTTAAAATAATATTTAGCTTACAACTTGTTTTCGAACATTCCTGGAAAATATGAAAATGTCGTCTTCATTACCAAAAATCCTCGAAACAGGAATAAATATTTTTATAAGTAACTCTCAGATCATAACAATTAAAACATATTATGAAAAATCAACTATATACAAATGTGGCGAAAGATAATCGATGACTATAGGTTGTAATATCTGAATGATTTGTTTGAAATAAAATTGATTGTTTTACGGTCTAAGTCGTATGTTGAAATTTTCTCAATTTGTATGGTCGCTACGTTCTTCGGTATGAGACGTCTTTAACAATTTTCTCCTTATAGACGCAACCGATAGAAGTAAGATTAGTAGCGATCAAAAGCGCTTTTTTATCGCATTAAGCCTATACCCCCTTCATTTTTCGCGAACACTCCCTTTAATAGTTATTTTATTCCTCTTTTTACACAGCTAAAACTTCAAAGGAACTTAATGAAAGTTAACGAAACATGTGAATTAAGTGAAGAATTTAATATCGTTTTTGTCCACAAGGCTTTATTTTGTGAACACAAATTTAGTAATGGCATAGTTAAAACAATTGACCCTGAAGACTACTGGGATTTCAAAAATGGGGTCTGCAATTTTTATATTGTCAAAAAATTGAGAAATGTGTCCCGATTCAAAGAAATTATAAATAACAACAAATTTTTAAATGATTAATTTCTTCATCTTCATCTTCAATTTTATCGATAAAAAAAAACACCACACTTAGAAAAGCCAATAAATACGTAGTTCCTTTATGATAGACTCTGTCATTTATCGGAAATTAAAAAAATTAAATCTAAATGCTTTGTCTAAATCACAAAACTTTCCTGACTGACGAAAAAAATTATAATGTTTATTGGGACACCGTGTAATTATAAATATAAATTTACATCTTTAGTTGAAGTTCCAATAATATAGTGACTATAGCTAGGTAAAGTTCCAATAATATAGTGACTATAGCTAGGTAAAGTTCCAATAATATAGTGACTATAGCTAGGTAAAGATTGACTGACGAAAAATTTTTGATTTTCTTTAAACTTTTTATTGTTAAAAACGCCGTTTCTGCTTTAATGCTTTTATTAAAAACGCTATTTTCTTCATTACGTTTATAAGGACATGAGGATCAGGAAGAACTTAAATTTTCTTTAGATCTCGTGACGGTGTGAACAAAACCAAAAGTGCCGGAACCCTGGATGATGAAAATGCTATTCCTGATCCTATGTATCTTCGAAGATACGAACACTTCCCAGAATACTACAGGTAGCAACAGTTAAGAAGTATTAATATGTAATTTGATTTCCACACGATGTGTTTAAACTTGGCTTGAGATTAAAAATATTTAAAATCATTGTTAAGAATTGAAGACATACATTCAACTGAACAGCTCAAATTGAAAGTTAGTGAATTGAATTTTTTGATCTTATCCATAACATACAGCGTGTCCTAACTAAGTGCATGGTTTCTCTCAAAAATATCACAAATACATGAATTCATTTAGATACAGGTTTACCCACAAAGAATGAGACTTCAGAGACGACTGTAGAGAATTTGTTTAAGAAATTCTTCTTATAATTATTAATTAATTAAAGTTACCATTAAAACACAATAATATCAGCAAAAAAAACCCAATTCATTTTGTAGGGTTTACTGTCGGCATTTGTATTTAACCCAGTTTAATCTAATGTCTGTCAAAAGTATAAATAACTAGCTTGGTTGGGAACCCAGCTTTGTATGGAAACTAAACTTTAGAGTTTTTAACAAGCTCAGAACATTCCCGTGGTTCTACCGGTCAAAAGGTTCCTGAGTTATGATCGGACATACACACAAACACCAATGCACCCACACAGAGATTACTACTTTATATGGATAAATACTATAGCTTGGGAGCCCAGTATTACATGGAAACTAAACTTGATCTATTTAGTCTGTACACTCTAGTTTAGGATTTTTTACCAGCTAATAACATTCCCGTAGTTCTGCGAGTTCCTCTATCAAAATTTGAGGCAAATCGACCAAAGGTTTCCTTTTATATGATAGGACAAGAGATGTTCTTTTCCATTAACTTAAAAACCCGTGTTTAGAGCCGCAAACCTGGACCATGGACACTGGACTGCGCCCTACTATGACTGTAACGGGTTCTTAAAGAAATGGAAAATAACCTATGCCTCGCCGTTCTTTGGGTTCAACAGTCTTAGGAACAGGATCGAGTTCAAGTAAGTTCGTAAAAATTAATTCTGCATCTAATTGGTCTTGCATGGTTCGCTAAAAAACGACCAATTGACGCAAAAAAATAAAGATTTTGAATCTATAAAATTTAATTTCTCCCCATTTTTTAATATTTTGCCTGAAACATTGATATAAATGCCACTAGATAAAATACAGTTGTATTAAGTCTCTATATTTAATTTTCCGGCACCAACTTAATCTTATTGGGTGTTACATGGGTTCCTCTAAATAGATTTTTACAAGAATTTAGCAGCATAAAATTTCCAGCCAAAGCTCAGGACTATAATATTCACGTATTTTAACAATTAGATTTGTATAATTTTCTTATTCTGTACTGCAAAGTCAAGAGAAGAATATATTGTAGTTAATTCCTGTGAAATTTTTAGAGGTGCAGTTGCAGTGTCTATGGACATCAAGATGCTTGACGTTAATCAATGCAACGGAGAATACCATGTAGCAAACGCGTTTAAAAGAACGCACAAGTGTGACGAAAAAACATCCTATGTAAGTATAGCATTTTCAATTCATCAGAAATATCTGTAGGTAAAGTTTGTCATCATTTAAACCCTTGTAATTTTCTAGTGTGTTCCAATTGATGGTAGAGGGTTTTTCACCGGTGGATACAAATGCGAATGTAAACAGGGATATGAGTATCCATTCGAAGACCCTATCATCTATTTTGACGGACAAAGGCTGGATAATGAGTTTCTGAACATGGTAGAAGGAAAGAAGAATTGGTTCGATATGTATAAATGCAGACTTGCCGGTGCTGCTACCTTGTCGTCTTCCTTTAGCATAATAATGTTTGTTATCACAATTTTGTTTATGCTCCGACCAGCTGTTCAAAGATAATCTGGAACAATAAATATCAATCAGGAAGATTAATCTCAAATCACAATTCTCAATTTATCAAATTTAAAAATGCTAGGTCTAAAATCTTGTTAAATAAAATGACGGATATTCGTACTTGGTATTTTCACACAAAAAAAGTTTACTTTCTATTACATGATTATTATTTTGCGGAGTTTAACTTAAAAAAAAACTTCTTTCTATTGTAATATTTAAATCTGTCGTCATTTCTCTTTCCATCGCTTAAAGTAAATGTATATATATTATTTTTCAAAGGCATTAATGTAAAAACATTCAGATACATTACAAAATAGTAATGGTTAAGTAGTTTTTTAACCCAAAAGTCTGTACAGTGTACATACTTAACTGACGTATATTTTTGTACCGAATGAATTGGTCCTAGTTCAGTATTCATCAATTTTATACCTTTGTCCTTTATGTATTTTTCTAAAAATATATATTTTTGTACATTTATTTATTGGAATTAGGTAGAGACATTTACAGTTACGACAAAATTTTACATCGAATAAAATTGACAAGGCAAAAATTTTACAATTCTTGCCTTTATCATAATCAACAAATAAGAACTAGTCAAGAACTAAATGCTCGTCAATTCCGTCAGTTTCGTTAACTAAAGCTCTTTCTAGAATCACACGGCCCTCCTTATACCTAGATATAGAGAACTGCACTCCATAGTTAGAAAACTGGCATAAAGCACGAAAAAAATGGTATTCTCATACGATATACAGTGCTAATCTTTAAAAAGCGGAATATTTTAGAATCAATTGAAGCCTTGATATTCGTGTATGACCTTTGAAATAGTTTGTGGCATTCTTTTTGCAACTTTTATAAACATTTTTCATGAAACAATAATAACAATTAACCCAAGTTCCTTCCATTTTTTGCTTTTAAAATTACCAGAGATAAGATAAGAGTCAATCATCTAAAACGAAATCAATAAATCTGAAAACACAAAAAAAAGGCAGATTAGCACTGAATGTAAATCACATATGACATGATCTTACAATTGTAAAAATTATTGAAAAGCCTTAAAAACCACAAAGATGCCTTGAAAATCCTGGATACAGACCCATTACAGATAAAGATTTTAGGATCTGAAATAAGTGGACCCGAAAAAATTTTGGCACCCTAATTCCGTATTCTAAACATCATAAGTGGCAAAATATCAACAATTTTACCAACAAAAAAAACGTTTTGGCGTTGGAGACACTGGTAAAACTCATCAATAAAACAATGCTCAAACGCATGAAAATTGACAGTGGACAACCTAGCAAAACAACAAATATTTTGAAGTTTGATGAGTGTCCATTTTCACAAGGCAAATCCATTATCTGGATCCGTATTACAATGGAATGAATTAGTTTTGCAATAGTTTTACCGTTGATTATCCTCTGTAGCAAACTCATACATCCAACCAAGCTTAGCGTCACAGTTCTTACAGAAAACATCTCGAACCTAAACTAAATTTATTTAATTTGTTTATCACGTTTTTTTTTGCTTCATTTTAATATTAATTAACTATTAAAAGACTAAACCAAGATCATTATCCTGTTATGCACTTGCTTAATTTTTGTTATGTATTTACTAAGTTGGTGTTCCAATATTAAATAAAACCTATAACGAAATGGATAGAATTTCAAGTGCATTTAAAATAAAACGAATGATGAAAAAACAATCACCATTTTGGCTAATATTGTTAACATTGATGAAAACTTTCAGGCAAATTGTTTAATCTAAGTCACTTGGAAGTTTGTGCAAGTTAAGTTAAGTTTTAATACTCAACAAAATTGCGCTGTGCAAAACTATTTTTCCGATATTGGTATTAAATATATCTATTTATGTCATTGTAATGGGTATTATTAAGTGCGAAAAAGTTTTTGCCGGGATTTTTTTTCTAGTTTGTTTAAGATCAAAATGAAAGTATTTTCACACCAAGCATATAGTGCGGTGTGAAAAAAAAATACTTTTAATTTTGATCGAAAACAAACTAGAAAAATTAAAAATCACAGCAAAAACTTTTTCGCACTCAATAATACCCATTTCAATAACATATATAGTTTTATTCAGTTTTACTCAAATTATTTAAAAGCAGGTCGATAAAGTTACTTAATCATCCTGTTGTAGGGTGATTAAATAACTTTATCACCCTACAATGAGACAAATTAGGTATGAAATCTGAAATTTAAATAGAGGGTGAAAAAGTTAATTTTTCGCCCTGTTGTAGGGCGATAAAAACACTTCATCACCCTACAAGGGAAAATTAGGTGTGATAAATTATATCAAAATTTATATCATACTTAAATAGTTTCCTTAATAAATTTTGATATGGTTAGACCTCATTTAGTCAAAAATCGAATTAAAAAGGATTTTCTGATAACGACTTTAGAACCCCTTGTTTTTTAATTGATAATTTACATCATGCTGAAGATTGTTAGACTAGTTTATTTCAAAATCAAGTCTGATTTCAGAATTGAAAGTGTCTGATTTTTGAAGATTTATCATGTTTGCGAACACTTTCAAAGGATCTATATTTAAAAAAAATCCTGAAATAACAAACATCATAGAGAACTATTAGAATGAAGGCTAGTTGTGGAAAATAAAAATCAAAATGGGACACCAAAGTGAAAATTCCTGTGTTCAGTGGTTAAATGTTGTAGTTACGATTTATTTTATTACAATCGGTCGTAAATCGCAATTTTGTTAAAAATGTTCAAAACTTCATAGCTTTTATCAGTGTTAACATGATGGTATTAGAGATGGAACGCCCTACTGTGGAAACATCAAGCTGAATGTCATTAAACAATCAAAATCATTTTAATAATGGATTATGGTCTTTCACTGATAAAAAAGAATATTTATGCTTATTGCTTATACAACATTCTTCCTCCTTTCAAGCATTAAATCGAACAATGCTTACCATATGCCTCCCTGTTAACATAACCCGATCCTGCACTTCACTAAAATATAAATATAAGGTGTCTAAATTAGTGGGCAGTTCTAGTTTTAAATTAAAAATAGGGATATAGAGATTTTATTGATTAATGTATCATTCCCATCCCCTCCCCACAACTGGTTGTTTGTTACCACCAATTATTTAAATAAGGGTTGATATTTTTATTAGACTCTCCTAGAGTTGATATGAACTATACATATATTCATTCAATGCTAAAACGAATTTTATGTAAAAATCGGAATGATAAAACTCGCTAAAATGTTTTATCAGTGCGTACAGAACTTTGTATCATATTGATAAGCATAAAAGCAAAACTTTCCACAGAAAATAAAAAAGATAAATACAAAAAAAAATAATTGCGTCAGATTCTTTATTCAGTGACGAAAAATATCTGAACTATAGCGCTAAAAAACGCCTAAAATATTTAAGTTCTTTTACTTCTTCAAAAGAAGAAGAAAAATTAATATAAATATATAATATATATTTCTTTTCCCCATTAATTAGATAAGCTTTGTTGACCGTGTTTCAGTTAAAATATTAATAACAAAAAAAACAAAAAAAACAAATTTCGATCATCTATAAACCTTCCCTGGGATTATGTGAAGTCCCAAACAAAATTTGGATCCGATCGGTTCAGCCGTTTTGACATTTGTTGGATACAAACGGACAGAGAGGCAGACAGACAGACAAACAGAAAAGCAAAGTATATATAGATTTAGTGAGGGGGCCTGCCAACTCTAACAGTGCCAGAAGTGCCGGGGGCAAGCGAGGTTGGACCTGAACTGCCGGCGGGAATAAGATTTCCATTGGGGACCCCCATATTTTTACTTGAGACCCCCAGATTTTCGTTAGAGACTCCATATTTTCGTTGGAGACCCCCAAGATTTTGATTGGAGAACCCCGTATTTTCAAGGAGATCCTCATATTTTCGTTAGAGACCTCCAAATTATTATTTAAGACCCACATTATATATTTTCATTGGGGACCCCCAGATTTTCATTGGAGACCCCCATATTTTCGTTGGGGACCTCCATATTTTCACTGGGGACCCCCAGATTTTCATTGGAGACCCCCAGATTTTTCTTGGTGACTACCAGATCTTCATTAGAGACCCCCAGATTTTCGTTTGAGACCCTTAGATTTTAGTTTGAGACCCCATATTTTCGTTGGAAACCACCGTTTTCTCCTTGGAGACCCCCAGATTTTGATTGGAGATCTCATATGAGGGGTCCCCAATGCAAATCTGGGGGTCTCCAATGAAAATATGATGTCTCCATCAAAATAATGAAGGGTCTCCGACAAAATATAGGGTAACAAAAGTAAATGTGCGAGACTCCATCGAAATTGTAGGATCTCCAATGAAAATATGGGGGTCCCCAAGAAAAATAAGATTCCTCCAATAAAATATGAGGGTCACGAACGAAAATATGGGGGTCTCCAACGAAATTATGAGAGACTGCAACAAAAATATAGGGTCTCCAACGAAAATGCGTGGGTCTCCAGTGAAAATTTGGGGTCTCCAACGAAAATAAAGGGACTCCAATGAAAAATGTGTGGGTCTGCAACAATAATATTGGGTCTCAAATGAAAATGTGTGGGTCTCCAACGAAAATATGGGGTCTCCAATGAAAATGTGTGGGATCTTCAACGAAAATATGGGAGTCCCCAACAAGAATTTGGGGGTCTCCAACGACAATATGGGGGTCTCCAAGGCACATATGGGGGTCTCCAACGAAAACATGGGGGTCTCGCAACGAAAAATTTGGGTCTTCAATGAAAACTTGGGGGTCCCCAACAAAACATGGGGGTCTCCAACGAAAAATTAGGGGGTCTACCACGAAAAAATGGGGTCTTCTATGAAAATCTGGGGTTTTCAATAGTGCTCCAATGATTTTTCCCAGACTCATCTATTACCTGTATTTTAGGTTAACAACTTTACCAAACAAGTAGGCCCGACCCGTAGCTCCAGTAAACCTAAAAATATAAATTTTAAATTTATATAATCAGTTGCTTAGCTATATGAGAACATGATTTTTTCACCTTGCACTTAAAAAATGAAACACTATTTTTCGTTTAATATTTAATGATAAGTTAATTCTGAGATATTAAGTAATGTCCACAATTTTTTTAAAGTGAAAACTTGACATTTGTACACATGACTAGACTCTTTATGGTATTGTGCCTTTCTACACTTTTGCTAAACTAAACATCCTACATACTCACACATGAATTGCTTCAGGCCTGAAGTTACTAAAGTTACATCTAAAAGCCGAATACTTTTTTTGACATTTAAAAAAACATTTACATTTTTTGCTTTTACAATTAGATTTCTAATGATTTTTAAAGCAGTATTGTGCTCTAAGTGAAAAAGAAAATTTTCAGGTGAGGGAGGGATTCCTATTTCCAGACTCACCCCAGACTAACCAGAGTGAGAGGCATTCAGTTTCTTCTTTTTTAACCCTATCCCTGCTGGGGTACTTGAAAACCAGGATATGCCTCTAAATCCCATGTTTTATGTCCAAATATGACAAATGATACATCATTAGAAAGCTCTTGTGCTCTACTTTTAGAATCTGCAAAAAAAATTAGCAAATTTGCAAAAATTTAATTTTTTATCGCAAAATCCAGTTATATAGTAAAAATGTTTGCAAAAAAAAATTTGTCCAAAAAATGAAAAATTATACATTTTTGAAAAGCCCTTGACCATGCCATTTCAAATATGCAAAAATTTTTGCAAAATTTTAAATAACCTGATTTTTAATGAAGAAAAACTAAAAATGTGCAAATTTCCTTTGACAGGTTGTTTGCAAAAAATTTGCAATTTTTTTTTCGCAAAACTTGTGCAACCCGTTTCCTTATGTCATAGGCTTTCCAAAAAGCTAAATTTGATCAAAATCTGACAAGTGAAAGTGGGTCAAAACAAAGATTTAGTTTGTTACAGGCAAAAGCAGTCATTCAGGCAGTGTGCCTGAGGACTCAGGCAGTTAGTATTAAAGCCCGGTTTTAGGCCTAAGGGGAGGGCTTTGGGTATGTAAGAAAAGTCAGAAAATTTCAACAGCCTCAGACCAATACTTTTTGAGTTATGTAAAAAAAACTAAGGGGGGGGGGGTTAAATTGACCCCCCCCCCCGAAGGAATAGGGTTAAATCATACGATTTTTGGTTTATGATTAAACAATTTTTAAACTTAAAATTTTTTTGTTTTATACTTTTCATTCAAAACGTATATGCCGACAAAAATATATATAAGATAAAAGGCTAAAAAATTATGTTTAATAGGTCAAATTGTAATCAAAAGTCACAGCTTTCTGGAATATTGGCAGAACCGTTAAATCCACGTGGACTAAATAGTTCATTAGTCTCAGTTGAGAGTTATCGCTGGGTCGATCAAAGACTTAATAATTTTTTTAAAGTCGTTTTTACTGGGTTTCAAAAGAATACTTTAAATTGAATTAGCAAAGAATTCTAACTGTGTAGTAAACGATATTTTACCGAGTAGAAATAAGTTCCCCTCTGTTTGTTAGAACAGTATCACAGTTATTACATGAGAACAATCTAGAACCTCCACAGTGTTCTAGAAATACGCGCCCCATTCTGCACTTTTTAACTCATCTGCAAGATCAATATATTACTCGTGCACAGTGTACACTGTACAATGAATGCTCCTAAGAAATATGTAAAATAGATGGTATGTAAGCTAGTCATATATGATGCAAAACTGAATGTAAATTGAAAAATTATAACATTCAAAGGGGATGGTGGAGATGTTCTAATTGATAAGGGGGGGGGGGGGGGGGGGGGGCCCTGCCTTAATTTTTGGCTCAAATCTTCCAATTTTTTGGCTGCACGCCTAATAAGTGATTTTTTTTCCTAAAATATAAAAAATGGATACAAATGACCTCTAATGACGTTTAATGAACTTGACAAATTGAAATTTTGTATGGCTTTATGCATATCAAACGAAAGCCAAGAATTCGGGTATTACGACCTATAGCGACCTCTTATGACCTTCAAATTGAAAATGTAATTACTATAGCTTAATGCATATCAGACGAAAGCTAGGAACCCAGGGACCCCCTCCTCATTAAATAGGGCATCACCACCATCCCCTTTGTGTTTTCGATTACACATCTTAGAAACCCAATTAATTGAAGGATTTATTTATTTATATAAACACAAAATTTACTTTATAAAAAGATATACAAAATATCGAGGAAAACAGACAATTTAGCTAAAAGATATTTAGAAAATAAAATTAAAATTTTATCAAAAGAAAATTCTAACTTATTTTTTCTGGGAGCGGGGGTTGGAGTTCGAACATTTTCAATGGTTTTCCAATATTTTTTTTTTAGGTCAAAATGACACACTTAAATAATTAGCATGAGACATACTTCAAAAAAATATATGAACATATTTATTGCAATATGGGCAACTAGTGTTGATATAACCCAGGCTCCTGCTGGAGAAAACATGAACAAATTTAAAAATAGATAATCCTAGCATCAACAGGATTCTGTTCTATTGGGCAGTAAGGACACTTGAGCTTGTGACCTGTTGTCAACTTGTTCAACGCATCCCTGTAACAAAATCAATAAATTATTATGCTGAGTGTAGAGGGAAGTAATTATAACCGTTTAATTGGTGGAAAAATCTTTAGTTTATTACGCTAAATAAAATCTTCCGAATCTTCATTTGAGAGACGAGACTGCAGTCAATAACTGTGGTTTACCTTGAAATAACGTGTCCACATGTTAATCTCATGGGAGGATTCCCTTCGGAGACCTAAAGATAAGAAAATTTATTCAAAATCCTAGGTTTTATCATTTTCCTTTTTTGTACCTGTTGTCTAAGAATCGGGCAAGCAAACACAGAATGAAACCTCATGTTTTCAGGCAGATCTATTTCGATGGGAAGTTCGTCTTTAGCATTCCAAACACCAGCAACCTATACAAATAACAATCAATCCATCACCTTTTAGTACCTTTGAGAAGAGTAAAAAATCTTCAAATATAAGTGACATTTTACCTGTCTTTGTTGCATAACTTGTTTAATATTGAGAAGGGCAGGCAGTGCAGTACAGCCAGCATTAATTGCTACAGCTGAATAGAGAACGACAAGTTAAATAAAGAAAACTGGAAAAAATATTGAAATTATAAACTGTTCATCATTGAAACCTGAAAATTGTAAAATGCAGAGTAGTAAAAAAATCCCAATCAAAAGAAAATAGAAACGTATTTTTTCATAATGAAAGAAGATATTTTATATATCGTTCACTTCAGATGATAAGAACTTAAGAAAAAATATGATTAAGGGGAAATTTATTATTAAACCTAAAGGAGATTCAACAGAAAGTCCCATGAGAGCACACGCATCCCTGAGGAACATATCTTCTATCTCAGCCCAGTGACAAGGATCTACGAGTAATGAAAATCAAGAAGGAGCATATATTTGAGAAAATAGCTTGGGAAACCGGTGTTGTCTGGACACTAAACTTTCACAAGGGGTGTGTATTTTCCTGAAAAATCATTCCCCACCTTATTGGAAATCATGTTAGATAGCAAAATTTTGTTTAGGGTTTTATTCGCAGAATTTAGGAAAATAAATAAATTTTTGGTAAACAGTATGAGAAAGGTTGAAAAAACTTTACAAATCTTAAAAACAACCCTGCGAAGAGATGGGCACGTAATACTTTTTTATTTCGTTTGTTTATCGTTCGTAAACGAACCATTTCTTCCATTTTTCAATCATTCAAAAAAATTATTTCGTTCGATCTTAAAATTATCATTAATTTTCTAACTATTTTGTTCGTTTATTCAATGAATAATCGTTTAGTAATATCGTTCGTTCTCAAAATTATCCTTCATTTTCCATCTATTTTGTTCGTTTATTCATTGAAATTTCAATTTTTTTTTTGAAAAAATCATTAAATAAAAATGATGTTCCAACAAGTCCTTCGTTCAGTAAAAAACCGATCGTTTTTTCAATTTCGTTTCTGTTTTTTACGTTCGTTTTCAAAATACAATAATTTTTTCATTTCTCTGAACGATCCATTTCATTCGTCCGTCCTTCGTTTTTTTCTAAAACGACATTTTTGTTCGTTTAAAAAAACTATGCCCATCTCAACCTTCGTCAACCCACTAAATTTAGACTTTTTAAGAACATTCCTGTGGTTCTACCGAGTTCCTCAATCAAAATTTGAGGCTAATTGGTCGAAGTATAATGAGAAATTTGTAGAAAGTTTATAATTCGTATTTTCTGTAATTTGAAAGCCAATTAAACTGTTGAATAAACAAAAATGGTTTATCTACTTAAATTCTAAAAAAAACAAATGTCCGACAACTTTATTAATTAAAAAAAAAAACACAGAATATTTATCAGGGCTTTCAATATCGAGTAAAAACCTATAAAAATTATCTAAGTAGAATTATATCGTAGGTGTAACTAATGTATCGGGGAATAAACTATCAGGATGATGCCGGGATAATTTTATTACCCAAACTCCAAACTGTGGAGACCAAAAGTTAAAATTATGTCAAACTTCAAAAACTCGTATAAAGTCTTAAAACCTTGCGTGTTTAAAAAACGGATAAAAAAGATTCCAACTCTAATATATTTAAGAACATTACCAAGTAGGCTCGAGTATGGAGAAGATTTAAGATCTGGACCCGCATACATTACTGCTCCCATTAAAACCTGAATCTCTTTCTCTTGACCTAAATATCATCAAAAGAATCTTTACAGACAAACACAGTAAAAATCACAAAAGTATGCGGATCCATGGATCCAGATCCAAGGGGCAAAATATCAAACACAACAAACAATTTTGCTAATAAGAGATTGATGAAGCTTCCTAATCTTAAATGGTTCATTAGGTTTCAATAAAAAAAGCGAAAAAGAAAAAAGATTGAAAATTTTGTATTTGTTAAAAGAAATCAGTAAATTCTAAAGAAATATTCAGGACCTGGATCCGGATCCCCAAAATGATCCTTTGCACTGCTTAAGCACTAAGCAGAGATGCGATGTGGAACACGGAATACAATACATTATACACAGTGGCGTAAATAAGGGGGGTTATTGGGGTTATTTACCCCCCCCTAGAATCCTGGGGGTAAATACCCCCCCCTAGAATCCTGGGGGTAAATACCCCCCCCTAGAATCCTGGGGGTAAATACCC